TTGTTTTTCTAGATTAAAAAAAAACTCCCAAAGTTGCTCTTTAAAATGAAACATGGCAAAACAAAAAAATTGGTTTCTTTTAGACATTTTTGTCTGGAAATGTGAAAATAAAACTGTAATCTCTCCATATTTCTGCATAAGAAAATGTTAATCTCTGAACAAAAGAGTTATTAGAGTTTTCCAATATCTCTGAGGGTCAGAGCGATTATCAGAAGCAGACGCTCTATAACTGCCAATAAATCAGGGACACGTATCATTTATCGCAGACGCACTAAAGCATGTGGCGCGCACATGTTGAAAGCGCTGCCACAGGATTCATATTTAGTCGGGTAGATGGGCGGTCCCTGGCATCGGCGTTGTTTAGTCCAATGTGCCGTAATTAGAAGCAGAGACAGTTTACGCCAGAAACCGCCGTGACTGATGCAGACCGTCATTCCTGAACTTTCTCTCCTCTCTCCACAGACGCTGCCGTCCATCTAAAAAAACAACCCGGGGGGGAACGGCCCGGCTTCCCGCTCTTCCTCTCCGTCCTCCTGCTTCCTCATCGTCCTGCTTCCGCCTCACCTCTCCGCCGCGGAGGACGACTCTGTCAGCCGCGTCCGAGTCGGCCGCCCCGACGCCGGAGTAGCCGCCCCCGATGGAGCTCAAATGAATGAAATAAAACTTTTTTTTTTTTTTAAAGAGACAAGAAGAAGAATGTAAGAAAACCTAGATTACAGACTGAAAACTTTTTCTTCCGTTGATCTCTTTGCATGTGACGCGACGAAGGTTTGGTGTGAGAATGGGAGCGGCGTGCGCGTGCGTCTGTCTTCTCCGATTGTGAAAGTCTTCTCTGTTATTGTGTTTGTTGTTTTCATGCCACCGTGGAGAAGGGAGCGAGATTAAAGAGTTGTATAGTTTTTGATATGAAAAAGGGAAAAGAAAAACTGGACTATAGTTTTTTTTTTTTTGTGGCTCACTTCCAGCAGCGTTTATTGAACGCACCCCGTCTGGTGCGGCCCGGAGGGACGCCACCGGGGAAAAAAATGTCTCCGGGAAATTCAGTTGGAGTTTGGAATATCGTGGATTGTGGAGGAAACGGTCAGAAGTGACGCACCTGGACTGAAACAAAAGGAGGGGGTCTAAAAATAAAAATGATTTGTTGTTTAATTTTCCAGAGTTCATCTTCCAGCTACAGGTTGAACACAACGGACTTTCATCCTTTTCTTCCTTTTGTTTATAAAGTGTAATTATGTCAAATGAGAGACGCTTCATGTACACTAATACGACACCTCCGTCCTTAATACCGCTCTGCAATCCTTTCTCTAGTTTTCCTTTGGGGGGGGGGGGGGGGTTTGTTTAAAAAGGACCTGTTTGGATATATGCAAGACATGCTTGGAAGGAGAAGGAAACCAGAATGTACTGTAAAATACTTTTTTCCTTTACTCAAATGTCAAATAAGTAAAAAAAAAAAGAGAAAAAAATGAAAATAAGGGTTAAAGTTTGTCGTTGTATGCCTTCCGATGCCATAATGATCTAGTCATGTAGATCTAACATCCTCTTGATCCTTTTTGTATTTTATTTTTTCCCTTTTCTTCAGAAATTATTTGTTTTCTTTGATTTTGTTTTGGTCAAGGAGTTATAGGTACATGTAACTTATGTCATTTATTTATGTCCTTTTATATCTAGTTTGTAAAATAATAGCCTAAAGTGAAGTAAATAAAAAAGGGTGCAAAGGTGCATTCTTATTAAAGTAGAAACTATGTGAGCGTCTCTGTGGCTTTCTCTGATATTCCTTCATCATCTTATAGGAATCTATGACTAGTTTCACATGTCGGCCGAAATATGATGTAAAAACTCACTGGCCGTTTCTCAATTTACAAGAACGTTCTTGAGAAGAACACAAGAAACTCTGGACTCTGGGAGAATAAATCTGGATCAACTGGAAAAGAAGCGTACTGATGACATCACCACATTTAAAGCTCGTCTGGAGCTGCACATCACTTCCTGTTATTAATAATCTCTAGATAATAATGAATTCTGACTTTTTTACATTTAGTGGGGAAATAATAATGAACACAGTCAGATAAACACAAATGAAATGAACATTTTGCCAAATAAAACATAAAAACTTGCCATCCTTCACACACGGCTATGCAGAGAGAGGGCCGCTGCAGACGGGCTAACGTTAGCCCTGGACCCTGCATATGGGCTAACATTAGCCCTGGCCACTTCATATGGGCTAACATTAACCCTGGCTGCTGCAGACGGGCTAACCTTAGCCCTGGCCGCTGCAGACGGGCTTACGTTATCCCTGGCCGCTGCAGACGGGCTAACGTTAGCACTGGCCGCTGCAGACGGGCTAACGTTAGCCCTCACCGCTGCAGATGGGCTAACGTTAGCCCTGACTGTTCTGACTGCAGTGTTCACTCTTAATTTCATTCAAATTAAGTTAAGTGTAATTTTCATGTGAATGTGCTTTACTGGAGGCATCCATGTTTGTCAAAGAACACTACTGCCACCTACTGGTTAGTGAC